TTTTTAGCATAAAGGGCTGTTGAATTTTGTCAAATGCCTTCTCTGCGTCAATTGAGATAATCATGTGGTTTTTGTTTTTGGTTCTGTTTATGTGGTGAATTACGTTGATAGACTTGCGTATGTTGAACCAGCCTTGCATCCCTGGGATGAATCCTACTTGATCATGATGAATAAGTTTTTTGATTTGCTGTTGCAATCGGCTTGCCAATATTTTATTGAAGATTTTTGCATCTATGTTCATCATGGATATTGGCCTGAAGTTTTCTTTTCTCGTTGGGTCTCTGCCGGGTTTTGGTATCAGGATGATGTTGGTCTCATAAAATGATTTGGGAAGGATTCCCTCTTTTTGGATTGTTTGAAATAGTTTTAGAAGGAATGGTACCAGCTCCTCCTTGTGTGTCTGGTAGAATTCGGCTGTGAACCCGTCTGGACCTGGGCTTTTTTTGTGAGGTAGGCTCTTAATTGCTGCCTCAACTTCAGACCTTGTTATTGGTCTATTCATAGTTTCAGCTTCCTTCTGGTTTAGGCTTGGGAGGACACAGGAGTCCAGGAATTTATCCATTTCTTCCAGGTTTACTAGTTTATGTGCATAGAGTTGTTTGTAATATTCTCTGATGATGGTTTGAATTTCTGTGGAATCTGTGGTGATTTCCCCTTTATCATTTTTTATTGCATCTATTTGGTTGTTCTCTCTTTTCTTTTTAATCAATCTGGCTAGTGGTCTGTCTATTTTGTTGATCTTTTCAAAAAACCAGCTCTTGGATTTATTGATTTTTTGAAGGGTTTTTCGTGTCTCAATCTCCTTCAGCTCAGCTCTGATCTTAGTAATTTCTTGTCTTCTGCTGGGTTTTGAGTTTTTTTGATCTTGCTCCTCTAGCTCTTTCAATTTTGACGATAGGGTGTCAATTTTGGATCTCTCTATTCTCCTCATATGGGCACTTATTGCTATATACTTTCCTCTAGAGACTGCTTTAAATGTGTCCCAGAGGTTCTGGCATGTTGTGTCTTCGTTCTCATTGGTTTCGAAGAACTTCTTTATTTCTGCCTTCATTTCGTTGTTTACCCAGTCAACATTCAAGAGCCAGTTGTTCAGTTTCCATGAAGCTGTGCGGTTCTGGGTCGGTTTCTGAATTCTGAGTTCTAACTTGATTGCACTATGGTCTGAGAGGCTGTTTGTTATGATTTCAGTTGTTTTGCATTTGTTGAGCAGTGCTTTACTTCCAATGATGTGGTCAATTTTAGAGTAGGTGTGATGTGGTGCTGAGAAGAATGTGTATTCTGTGGATTTGGGGTGGAGAGTTCTGTAAATGTCCACCAGGTTTGCTTGCTCCAGGTCTGAGTTCAAGCCCTGGGTATCCTTGTTGATTTTCTGTCTGGTTGATCTGTCTAGTATTGACAGTGGAGTGTTAAAGTCTCCCACTATTATTGTGTGGGAGTCTAAGTCCTTTTGTAAGTCATTAAGAACTTGCCTTATGTATCTGGGTGCTCCTGTGTTGGGTCCATATATGTTTAGGATCGTTAGCTCTTCTTGTTGTATCGATCCTTTTACCATTATGTAATGGCCTTCTTTGTCTCTTTTGATCTTTGTTGCTTTAAAGTCTATTTTATCAGAGATGAGAATTGCAACTCCTGCTTTTTTTTGCTTTCCATTAGCTTGGTAAATCTTCCTCCATCCCTTTATTTTGAGCCTTTGTGTATCCTTGCATGTGAGATGGGTTTCCTGGATACAGCACATTGATGGGTTTTGGATTTTTATCCAATTTGCCAGTCTGTGTCTTTTGATTGGTGCATTTAGTCCATTTACATTTAGGGTTAATATTGTTATGTGTGACTTTGACACTGCCATTTTGATGCTAGCTGGATGTTTTGCCCGTTAGTTGTTGTAGATTCTTCATTATGTTGAAGCTCTTTAGCATTCAGTGTGATTTTGGAATGGCTGGTACTGATTGATCCTTTCTATGTGTAGTGCCTCTTTTAGGAGCTCTTGTAAAGCAGGCCTGGTGGTGACAAAATCTCTGAGTAGTTGCTTGTTCGCAAAGGATTTTATTCTTCCTTCACTTCTGAAGCTCAGTTTGGCTGGATATGAAATTCTGGGTTGAAAGTTCTTTTCTTTAAGAATGTTGAATATTGGCCCCCACTCTCTTCTGGCTTGTAGTGTTTCTGCCGAGAGATCTGCTGTGAGTCTGATGGGCTTCCCTTTGTGGGTGACCCGACCTTTCTCTCTGGCTGCCCTTAGTATTCTCTCCTTTATTTCAACCCTGTTGAATCTGACGATTATGTGCCTTGGGGTTGCTCTTCTTGCGGAATATCTTTGTGGTGTTCTCTGTATTTCCTGCAGTTGAGTGTTGGCTTGTCTTGCTAGGTGGGGGAAATTTTCCTGGATGATGTCCTGAAGAGTATTTTCCAGCTGGGATTCATTCTCTTCGTCCCCTTCTGGTACACCTATCAAACGTAGGTTAGGTCTCTTCACATAGTCCCACATTTCTTGGAGACTTTGTTCATTCCTTTTTGCGCTTTTTTCTCTGATCTTGGTTTCTCGTTTTATTTCATTGAGTTGGTCTTCGACTTCATATATTCTTTCTTCTGCTTGGTCAATTCGGCTATTGAAACTTGCGTTTGCTTCGCGAAGTTCTCGTATTGTGTTTTTCAGCTCCTTTAATTCATTCATATTCCTCTCTAAGGTATCCATTCTTGTTATCATTTCCTCGAATCTTTTTTCAAGGTTCTTAGTTTCTTTGCATTGATTTAATACATGATCTTTTAGCTCACAAAAGTTTCTCATTATCCATCTTCTGAAGTCTAATTCCGTCATTTCGTCACAGTCATTCTCCGTCCAGCTTTGTTCCCTTGCTGGTGAGGAGTTTTGGTCCTTTCTAGGAGGCGATGTGTTCTGGTTTCGGGTGTTTTCCTCCTTTTTGCGCTGGTTTCTTCCCATCTTTGTGGATTTGTCCGCTGGTCGTCTGCGTAGTTGCTGACTTTTCGTTTGGGTCTCTGAGTGGACACCCAGAATGTTGATGATGAAGTATTTCTGTTGCTTGGTTTTCCTTCTACCAGTCTAGCCCCTTCGCTGTACGACTGTTGAGGTCCGCTCCAGACCCTGCTTGTCTGGGGTGCACCTCTAGTAGCCGTGGCACAGCGAGGGATGCTACCAGTTTCTTTTTCTGCTCTCTTTGTCCCAGGATGATGCCTGCCTAATGACAGTCTTTTTGATATAGAGGGGTCAGGGAGCTGCTTGAGGAGACAGTTTGTACTTTATAGGGGTTTAATTGCTGAGCTGTGCACTCTGTTGTTCATTCAGGGCTGTTAGGCTGCTATGTTTGATTCTGCTGCAACACAGCTCATTAAGCAACCCTTTTTTTTTCTCAAATGCTCTGTGTTGAGGGGTTTGGGCTTTATTTTTGGATGTCCGATCAGGTGTCCTGCCCAGCTAGAAGGCAGACTAGCCACTGTTTGGCTGCCGAGGCTCCGCCCTGCTGTTGTGTGATTCGCGCTGTTCCTGCCGGCTCTGCTGTGGTCTCCGCCACGCCCTGCGGCTGAGTCTCTTCGTTGTAGCGTGTTGCCTCAGCAACGGCAGGCTGCGTCAGCAGTGGGCGTGTATCTCAGTAGGGACGGGTTGCCTCGGCAACGGCTGGCTGCGTCAGCAGTGGGCGTGTATCTCAGTTGGGGCGGGTTGCCTCGGCACCGGCTGGCTGCATCAGCAGTGGGCGTGTATATCAGTTGGGGCAGGTTGCCTCCGTAGTGGTGGACGCCCCTCCCCCACAGAGCGTCTCGGACCGTCTGCCCGGGATAGTTTGAAATCGCGGTTTTGTTCGTCCCACTGGGTATCCCAAACGATCTGTCCCTGCAATCCCCTGGGCTGGGCTACTGTGCAAGTCTCGTTCAGTCTCAAGTCCAGCCCTCTCAAGTCTCAGGCTGCCGGTTCAACAAGGCACCCGGACAAGCGCGCCCTGTGGGGATTGCTGGGTAGGGCCGGCCGCCGCCGCCCCGGCTGCCGGCTTCGCCAGGCAGACCTACTGCCTGGCATCCCGTGTCTTTTTATACTTGGGAGTTTCCCAGTTCTGTGGGCAACAAAGATCATTCTGGAAATGCAGCACTGACTCACCGTTTGCGGATTCAACGCGGGCTCCAATCCTGGGTTCTCACAGCGCCATCTTGAGTCCCCTCTCGAAACATAGTATTCTAAGTGAATGCAGTTAGACTCAAAACATATGAGGTAATTTATATGACAAAATAATGGTGACAGTAAACAGATCAGACAGTTAGCAAGGGCTGGTCCGGGGGAGGAATACAAACAGGCACCTGAGAATTTCTGTGGCTGATGACAGTTCTATGTCTTGATTTTGGTGGTGGTCTCATGACCATATACATTTATCAAAACCTGCAAAACTGTATACTAAAAAATACATGAATTTTACTGTATGTAGATTGTACTTTAATGAATAATGAAAAAAGAAAATTAGACTGTTAAATAAATGTGTATGAAGCTTTTACTATTCTGCTTCTACAGACTTCAAGTAACCATAGGAAAGTTCCACTCACGTTATTATTTTTGTGAAGAATTTTGGTTTGACTCTTTTAAAAATATAAATATATTTTAGTTTTCAAGAATTCAACTTGCCAATTCACTTGCTGAATCAACTTCTTAGTTCACTGTTTCTCCTTGTATACATTTCCTGGGCACCACTTTTCTCCTTGCCAAAATTATTTTATTGAGAGTGTTTGGGGATAAATACTTTTCAATGTCATTTTTAATTAGTCCTAATTCATTAATGATGGCTCAGCTGTGCCTGGAATTCTAGGTGTGCAGTTATACTTCTTCAGCACTTTTGAATATTTTCTTCCTCGTCCTATTGCTGCTATTGATAGTCCACTATTATCTAGTTGTCTTTACTTAGTGGATAATCTGTCTTTTATTTATGGGAGAATATAAAATGTTTTTATTGATATTGATACCCTACAAGTTCAGTAATCTATGAATTCCTTTTTGTTTTCCTTTCTAGTACTTGGAAAATTGTCCATTTACTCTTTAAGCATCACTGGTGGCAGAACACAGTAACACCAAGACACATAAGCCATACTGAATTGCCAAAGGTCAATGAAGGGAAGACCTCACATTTAGACTCCTCAGGGAGCAGTCATATTGAATAGGAAATAGTCCAGGGTAAAAGGACCATAAAGAAGGAAGCAGCATGCCACATAAGTAAGGAAACCAACCTTATATTCTGGGACAGAGGGCTGGCCATACAAGGAGCCTTTGCGTCCTGCTCTATTTAGTTAATTTAGAAATGAGCCATCAGTGCCTTGCTTGTGGAATAGAAACATAGAGCCTTTGAGCTTATTTAGCGAAAGAAAAATACAGGAATTCCAAGCCAGGAAACATACCCATGAGGATTAATTATCATTCTGGTCCTGGGCCAGCATTTCCAGGGAGGCCATTTGAGCTGAGATGATAAGTCCCTCGGAACATAAGGGTGAAATAGAGGGAAGAGATTATGGGTCAGAAGGCAGGGCAGCCTCTCTCAAGACAAGGTTCTGGCTCACCTTTGGCTCCAGGGAGAGTGAGGCAGGGGACAACAGAATCTCCTTTGGGCAGCTCTTTTAATATCAACTCAATATCTACTTCCTCCAGGACCCTGCAGCTTTTATCTTTGCTCCCCGACTCCAGCAAGAATGAAGCAAAGTCTCTGTATCTGAATGCAAGAAGTCAGTCTGGTAACTGCTCTAGGGCTAGAGGGGTCTCTCCCTGGGAACCTGCATGAAAGTAGTAGTTTCTACTAATTCTTCACAGGTGGGAGAACAGGAAAGTAATCTTCTTCCTGTATAGGAAACTACCCAAATTCTGTATTAGCTGTCTGTCTGCATCCACTTCCATCTCTAGGGTAGACCTGCAGATAAGTGGAAGGAATAGAAGGGCCCTAATGTCTGATCTCACTAGGACTTTTCAGACACTTAACCCAACTTGACAAAATTAAACCAACTGAATACTGCTGAACAAAGCCACATTCTTTCTTCCCATTTTGACTGGAGCATCCTTGACCTTCAAACAATCCCTAGGAAAGTCTGAGTGGTCAGACAGCTCAGCTTCTCACCACCTGAGGTAAGGATTTTGTATCTCTTTCAGGGAAAGGTGTGTTTCTAGGCAAGTTGTGTAGGAAAAATGGAGTCCAAAGCATATCCTGAGAACTTAAACTACTCTGTCTGCCAGATTCCCAAGTATAATATTTGGGTTTCATAGCCTGTTCCAATTTGTGTATTCTTAATTTTCTGAACCTAAAAAGAGAAGCAATAAGGACTGTGCTACAGCCGAGGCATGGGTATCTGCTTCCTGGTAGAAATCGTGATACTTGTCTTTAGACCCCGTGTGCCATGCTGGCTTTTGGTAATGCATTTTTGCATCTGTCAGATGATGAATATCCCTCAAAGGGCCATCTAAAAAATGATGATACGCTTATTACATGTTCCCATACCTTTTAACCATTAAGGTACTAATGGCCCCATAAAAGGTCAGTGGAAACCAGTGAAATATTAAAACATAGACGCCATAATGTGGAGAAATGATTTATAGAAGGATGTTTCACTTCAAAATCTTTAGCTGCATGTTCAGAGTTGGCTTTATCTGTCCAGTTTCACGATGCACAGAGACTCCTATCAGTCTTAGGCCCTGGTCTTCCTTGGCTTCTCCGTGGCATTGGGTACCACAATTCCAACAGCTGCTTTCCAGAAAAGGAGTTCCTCTCTATCACTGTGATCCTTCTATCAAGTTTAAATGTTCTAGCCCTGCAAAAGGGAGAGTGAACATCTGGTCAAAGGCAGAAGAGAGGATAAAATTATTGAGCATGATTACAGCATAAAATAGATGCTCTTTTGTTCCCTTTCACCATTTCTCCCAAACACAAACATCCCATTCTTCCTAGGAAGGACCTCATATATTATATTTCTAAGCCCTTCCAAGCTCACATCCTGATATAACCTGTTTTAAATAAACACATTTGCATTGATCCTAAAGTATTTAGCTCTAAATGCAACACCTCCTCAAACACAACATTCACTTGTTTCAGACAGTCCATCATCCCTTCTCTTTCAAGCTTCTGTAGGGCTGGCTAAGAGAAGTAATTGAGGTGGACAAGTTTTAGTCCACTAATAAGGCTTTCATCTACCGCCTTGAGTACTGCAAACAAATGTGGCTGTTAGCTCTATGGAGAAGGAGGGGAAGTGCTTTACTGAAATCCAATCTCTGTATGTGTTTGGAATTTCATATCAAAACAGGTCTGTGAAGAAAACTAACTGAATAGGTCCAAGGATAATCTAGGGTGTGTGTGGCAGAATATTTCTTTAATCTTAAGAGAAAGATAATTTAATTTTTCTGGAAAGATACATGTTCAGGTTTAATGTCTTAAATAAGATTTTATGCATCACTTAATGTTTAGTTATTATTGTGATATCTGTTCTCCATTTAGATGGATCTTTTATTAAAATACTATGAAAAAAGTCAGACATTCAGAAATCAAGAGGAAAAGCCAATTATCAGTGGAAAGGGTATTATCTCAGTGGATTCATGTCCTAAGGTGCCCTGATGTTACAAAACTAGATTTCATCTTAGAAAAAATTCATGGAGTATCCATCTTGTTCTAGGTAATGAAAGAAGCCACAGCATGGAGCTCTGGAACTCCACCTTGGAAAATGCCTTCATCTTGGTGGGAATTCTGAATGGCAGTGGGTCTCCTGAAGTGGTCTGTGCTACAATTACTGTCCTGTACATGTTGGCCTTGACCAGCAATGCCCTGCTGCTCCTGGTCATCACAGTAGAAGTGCAGCTCCACGTGCCCATGTACCTCCTGCTTGGGCAGCTCTCTCTCATGGACCTCCTGTTCACATCTGTTGTCACTCCCAAGGCCCTTGCAGACTTTCTGCGCAGAGAAAACACCATCTCCTTTGGAGGCTGTGCCCTTCAGATGTTCCTGGCACTGACAATGGGTGGCGCTGAAGACCTCCTACTGGCCTTCATGGCCTATGACAGGTATGTGGCCATTTGTCATCCACTGAAATACATGACCCTCATGAGCCCAAGAGTCTGCTGGCTCATGGTGGCTACATCCTGGACCCTGGCATCCCTAAGTGCCCTAGTATATACGGTGTATACCATGCACTATCCCTTCTGCAGGGCCCAGAAGATCAGGCATCTGCTCTGTGAGATCCTACCCTTGTTGAAGTTGGCCTGTGCTGATACCTCCAGATATGAGCTCATGGTATATGTAATGGGTGTGACTTTCCTGATTCCCTCTCTTGCTGCTGTACTGGCCTCCTACACGCTAATCTTATTCACTGTGCTCCATATGCCATCAAATGAGGGGAGGAAGAAAGCCCTTGTCACCTGCTCTTCCCACCTGACTGTAGTTGGGATGTTCTATGGAGCTGCCACATTCATGTATGTCTTGCCCAGTTCCTTCCATAGTCCCAAACAAGACAACATCATATCTGTTTTCTACACAATTGTCACTCCAGCCTTGAATCCCCTCATCTACAGCCTGAGAAATAAGGAAGTCATGGGGGCCTTGAGGAGGGTCCTGGGAAAATATATGCTGCTGGCACACTCCACGCTCTAGGGAGATCTCCTGGCTATCTTCCAAAAGTCTTTCTCCTCAAAGTCAGAAAATGGATGTTATGAATCAAATACTAATGGTAAAATTAATACAGTGCAGACTATAGCATTCAATAGAAAAGTGAAGGAATGTAACTGGATTTGTCAAATGCTCTTTCAGTCTTCTCTCCATGAAGTATAGGGCATGATTTATATTATCTAAAATTACTCTTCACTCTATTTAAAATTTACTCTTTGTTTTTCCAGGAAGGTACTTAGTTAAATGGGTCCCACCTTGGGACATGACCTCTATCTAACCTTGGAAGTTTGTATTGGATCAGAGAAAGGAAAGTTTCAAGTGGGCGGCCAAACATCAAAGGGGAGATGTCCGGAGATCTGCACACATTCAGACCAAGTGATCTTATTAAAAGAATTATACAGACTTCTTGTCAAATGCCCCAACTGGTAGTAGATTGCTTGTATTTGCATTGTACTCACTCTTTTTTTTCTCTTTCTAAACATCGGCCACATGAAATATGTCAACAAGTGTCTTTGCTTGTTTGTTTTTGTTTGTTGGTTTTTGACATGGAGATATTTTATAGTTCCTAAAATTCAATTATTAATGAAATGAAGAAAACAAGGTGAAGGCAGTCTATAAGCAAAGTTTATGATAAATAACTCTGCTTATTTCTTGCTAATTAAAAACACAAGCAAAATAGTGATTTTTCCATTATCCAAGGCTAACTTGTAACATTCCAACAATTGCAGTGTTCACATGTGTGGTGGGTGTGGGTATATGAGTGTCTGTGTGTTTGTGCTCAAGAAGGAGAGGACAACATAATGCATTTTCTCACCAGCTTAATTATGCTGCACTACTATGAGTTTGTAAGTCTAAGAATACTGAAAACAAAAGGTGTCTACAAAAGCTGTGAGTTGCATTTTGAAACTTAAAAACAATTTAAAATAATATGGCTAATTAAATGACACTGTTTTGGAGGATATGGCTGTCAGAAGATTGCTAACACTTTTTAAGTCAATTCTGTAGTAATTTAAAACAGTGACTGATACTAGGTTCAGAAAGTATAGTGTATATCATGTTTGGAAGGCAAGGCTGAGTAGAGATAGTTCCTACACATATTTATATAAATTTCCTTCCATTTTAATACAGGCATGCATTTTACTGATTTGATGTGTGTGTGTAAAACAGATTTTTAAAACCTACTAGCATATGGTTATTTTTCCCTATGGTATATAACAGCAGTATACAGCACTGCAAAGAGTCTAGGGTCTATTATCAGCGTCCAGAGTTAGAATTCAATACCCCCCACTTAGTTCTATAACTTTGAGCATATTACTTGTTTGTGCCCAAGTCTGCGAGTTTGCAAGTCTTGTGCAAAGTGTAAATTGACATTAACAATAAGACTTACTTTGTAGCGTTGTGAGAATTAAACAAGTTAGTAAACATAAATATAAGGCATCTTTATATTTGTAATCAGCATGTGTCATATAGTAAGTATTTAATAAGTTTAACACCTACAGAATAAATGGCCCTGAAAATACAGTTGAGTGATAGTAAAACATGGGTGTTTTGTAATATTATTAGCTATCATGGTTTTACGTTTAACATTGTTGTGTGTGTGTGTGTGTGTGTGTGTGTGTGTGTGAAATCAGTAATGTCCGTCTCTCGGATGTAGGACTTTTTTTTTCTGTAGAAAATTCCTATGAGTGAAATTACTGAAACAGAGGTTAAAAATCTATTTAGTACCCTTGATATGAAAAGACAAATAAGTTTTTTAAAAAATGTTAAATATTTTGCATTCTTAACAGCAACATATAAGAGTTTAACCCACTACATCTTTTTTCTTGTTAAATTTTACATATAAATAGTCTTCACTAATTGATAACGTATAATATTTGTTTAGTTTGCTTAAGTAACTTGTTCACATTTTTCTTATCAGTTTGTTGAAGTTCTTTACAGGTTAGGAACACAGAGACTTTGTTATATTTGTGGTAATAACTTTTTTTCAATTTGTTATTTGGCTTCTAATATCTTCACAGTAGATATTTTTTAGACAGAGAAATATTTAAAATATTTGCATAGTGAAAGATATATTTTATGTTTTCCAGTGATTTTTACTGTTAGGATATAATTTTCTATTCTCATTGACATCTTTTCTGTCTGTTACACAGTCCAATTTAGGTAACAATTTATATATTTTACATATTTTGTCACCCTATCATTTGTTTAACTTTAAAAATAAATGTCTAATTTTTCTTTTCATGTGAAAATGATATTTTAACTTTCATCAAAGCTACCATTTTTCCAGTAATATTTTAAAGCAATCCTTTGGTTTTCTTCTTCTTCTTCTTTTTTTTTTTTTTGTGAGCAACATGGCTGTTTATTCACCTGGGTGCTGGTGGGCTAAGGCCAAAAAGGGCATTAGCAAAGGGCAGTGGGATAGGAGTTGGTTTTATAGGTTTGGGTAGTTTTTTGGGGGGTGGGGGTGTTACAGAATAAGTTCAGTTACAGTGGTGGGGGTAGGGGCAAGGAGTACACAAGTTCAGTTACAATGGCAGGGTTGGGTGAGAGGTATTTACATGATCATAAGAACATTTAAGATGGCAGGGTTGGGTGAGGGGCTTGTGGGAAGCTCTGCTGGGCGATTAGGGACAATGGTGAACGCAGGCAGGGACTGGGAGACTTCAGCTGAGGCAAGCAGGGCTTCAGACTTTCAGGCTCCAGACTTGCATATGGAGACATGACATATCTATCTTTTTATATATGGAGAGAAAGAATTAGAGAAGAGGGGGTGATAACCGGTTTTAGGGGGTGAGGGCGAAGTTTCTCAAGGCTTCTTCCAGCAGGATTGGGGGCAAGGTGGAAACCTAAAAATGGGAAAGAATTTAAACCGCTGGGAGATTTTGGGGAAAGGGGTAAAATTGTGGGGTTGTTAGAAGGAGCATTTGTCATATTGACTGATTGGTTATTGCTTGTATACGATTTTATAGGAATTGAGAGATTAATTGGAAAAACAGCATTTAAATAAGAGAAGGAGAAGGAGTATTAGAGAAGGTTAACTGTGTGGAGGGAGAGCTTTTGTTTTTATGGTGTGTGAGGAAGCTCGTGGTATTTATAAGTAACCGCTCATTTTATTTAACAAGATTGGGTTTGAGCAGAGAACGGGAGCCAGATTGAGTCAAATATTAGCTGTAATTGCCTGGAGGAAACATGTAAACCAGCAACTTAAACAAAAGTCAATCAGGACAGTGAATCTGAGCACAGTCAGACAGAAAATAACAGAAACAGACTTTCTGAGGTGTGGTTTAAGTAGTAGGGGCAACTGCATAAAGGTGGAGAAGCGAGGGGCTGAGTTTGTGAGGTGTAAAGAGAAAACTTTGGAGGTTGTGAGAGCTGGAGGGTAAATGGGGCATAGCCTGTGATTCTGAGGGATTTTAAGAGTATTAGGGCAGCAGCTGCTGCTGTGCGTTGTCATGAGGGACAGCCCAGGACTGTTAGGTTAAATTGTTCAGATAAAAAGGCTACAGGCCATGGGTCTGGCTCCTGTGTGAGAATTCCGACTGCATAGCCCTGGATTTTAGCCGTATATAATGAAAAAGTGTTGAGACAGGTTGGGGAGAGCTAGTGAGGGAGCAGTTTTTAGAGCTGTTTTTTAAGGAGCAAACCGAGGAAAGGATTTAGGATTAATAAGATTAGATAAGTTTTCTTTAGTGAGTTTATACAATGGCTTAGTTAGAATAGCAAAACCTGGTATGCACAGGTGAAAGTAGCAACCACACCCGGGATGGAGAGAAGCTGTTGTTTGGTGTATGAGGTTGGGGTTTGGGAAATTAACTGGATACAGTTGGCAGGAAGGGCATGTGTATGCTGGTGAAAGATAATAACAGATGGGGAAGAAATGTGGGCTTTGGAAGGGGATACACAATACCCCTTTGAGTATAGAAGCTGAAGAAGCAGGAGGGTGAATTAAAAGTCCGTATTGCAATACAGGGTGATAACAGGCTTTACATTTAAAGCCTGTTGTGGCATTTGGTACTGGGGCTGGGCAGGGTAAGGGTGGTTAGGTTTTAAGGGGATGATGAGGGGTGAGTGACTTGTAGCAACGCATGGGAAGGCAGTGTTTTACATCCTAGGGTTAAGGTTGGGGAACATAAGGGGACATATTGAGGGAGGTATGGGTTTGGGAAGGAGGGCGGCAATGAGGTGTGAATGTAGCCCAGGAACAGTTAAAGAGGCAAACAATTTTGTTCGGATATCTCGGCCTAACAGGGGAACTGAACAAGTGGGGATGATTAGGAAAGAATGTGGAAAGGAGTGCTGGCCTGATTGACACCAGTCCTGGGGAGTTTTGAGAGGCCTGGAGGCCTTGCCATTAATTCCCACAACAGTTATGGAGGCCAATGAAACAGGTCCTTGAAAAGAAGGGAGCGTGGAGTGGGAGGCCCCCGTGTTGATTAAGAAGGGGATGGACTTACCCTTCACCGTAAATTACCCGAAGCTTGGCATCCATGATGGTCCAGGAGGCTTCCAAAATGCTCGGGCAGCGTCAGTGTTTAGCCGCCAAGCCTACAATTGGAGCTTCAGGAGCTCTGGGAGCAGCAACGTAAGTCAGACAGTCGACTTTCTGTGGGGGCCCCCGCACAGACGGGGCAGGGCCTAGGAGAAATCCTGGGCTGCGGGCATTTCTTGGCCCAGTGGCCAGGTTTCCGACACTTGAAGCAAGGTCCAGGAGGGGTGGCTGGATGCGCTGCAGTCTGGGCGCTTTGAAATCTTTGTGAGCCGGTGGAGAGGCTGAGGTTTGTCTTATGCAAGAGGCAAGCATCTGTAGTTCTGAGACAAGCTGCCGCCGGGCAGACTTTTTCCTATTATTGAACACCTTGAAGGTGGGGTTGCTTAATTCCTGTTGTGGGGTTTGAGGGCCAGATTTTACTTTTTGTACCTTTTTGTAATGTTGGGGTTGACTGGGTGATAAAATGCTTGGTAAGTGTTTTTTTAGGGGTGAGAGAAGTAAGGATGACATTTAAGTCACTCCAGTTGAGGTTATAGGACTGGGTTAAGTACTGGAGAATTTGATGAAAAGGAGCCTAACTGGTGGCCAATTTGGAAAGGCTCGATAAAGGAAAAGGAATGTGCACCTTAACTATGCCTTTGGCTCTAGCCACCTCTGGAAGGGGGAATTGTTGGGGAGGGCAGAGGAGGTAGCAGCAGGACTAAACTGTAAGCTGGGAGTCGAGATTAGGGAGGGATTGGTGTGTAAAAACATTCCTGGACATAGGGAATTTCAGACCATTTGCCTGTGTTGCGACAAAAATTGTTTAAATTTTGTAAAACAGAGAGGTTGAAAGTGCCATTTTTGGCCATTGGAGCTGCTGTTTAATTTGTATTGTGGCCATGCAGTGTTACAGAAGATGAGACGTTTGGGTTTTAGGTTAGGAGACAGTGAAGAGGCTTGAGGTTTTTTTTAGAACACAGGCCAGTGGAGAGATGGGAGGGATAGAAGATAGACGATATAGCCCATGGTTCTGGAAAGGCAGCAGAGACAAGGAAAATGGGCATGCAACCCAGCTGCTCAAAAGGCATCCCTAGTTGAGCCTGGGTTGAACCTTGTCATTGGTGGGTGGTCAAAGAGAGTGTCCTCTACGTTGACCTGCATGAGCCGGGTGGGCAAGTGACTAGGGTGAACGTCTCCACGATAGTCAAGCCCCTGAGGAAACTGGGTCCCTGGATCCGTGACCTACGTAGGATTTTCCAGTCATGAACCTCACAGAAGAACCTCGTTTACCTGACTTTCCTTGTTTTTGTGGTGGAAAAAGGACGAAACTGAAAGGGGGAGGAAGTAGAAAGGAAAAGACAAAAGGATAGGAAAGCAAAAAAGAGAGACTGCTTACCAAAATAGCCGGTGGTGTGCATCTGTGGGCTGGTCTGATGACCCCAGGTTGGTAGGTAGATCTCTTCATGGAGGGAGCACAAGAACAGGGACGGGGATTTGGTCTCCTGCAGGAGTTCCTGTGCCCCGGGTTTCTGGCACCTAATGTTGAAAAACTCACGCTTTGAATGCAGAGACCTTCCAAACAGGCTTTGTGTGAGCAACATGGCTGTTTATTCACCTGGGTACAGGTGGGCTAAGGCCGAAAAGGGCATTAGCCAATCCTTCGGTTCTCTATTAATTGATTCTATTACTTTCATCAGACAGGTTCCAATAAGGTATATTTTGGCTAACTATTCAGTTATAGCTCCTTTCTCCTCTTTACTCTTTGAGAAGACATTTTATTCTGCCATTCACATCTTCATAGCTCATTTGCAATTTGATTGTGAATATATTTAACTGATAAATTAATTTGATAATTTGAGCATTTTTACAATACTCAGCCTTGCCTTCCTGAACATGGTGTACCACTATACTTCCTGAACCTAGTCTAAAGCAGTTTTAAAATGACCATTTCACACCATCATTCTCGGCTGATGCCTTGCCTCACACTTCACTAGAACAGAAGCAGTTGGCTACAAAGCCCCTCTCCAAATATTCTGCACACCTGTGCCTGCATGTACACTTACTGTTTTCCCTCATTATAACTGCTTGAACCAGGAGGTGGAGGCTGCAGTGAGCTGAGATCACACCATGCACTCCAGCCTGGGCAACATAGTGAGATTCTGCCTCAAAAATAAAAATAAAAATAAATTTAAAAAATGAGAAGCCTTTCCATGACTCCAATCCCCCTCAGTTACTGTGGCATTATTTTTAGCTTCTCTTGGCAGGAAAAAAAAATAAAAGGGGAGTATCTATGCCCATTTTATCTTTTGCTGATCTTCTATTTACATCTCAACACACTTTGAATCAAGCTCTGGTCTCTTTCTATGAATCTGTTTTTTTTGTTGTCAAAATTATCATTAACGTGCTAAATAAACTGTTCACCTCAATATTCTCCTCCATCAACCTTTCAGCAACATTGATATAATTGATCACATCCCTCTGTTGGGGAATTTTTCTTCTTTTGGCTTCCAGACACCACACATCCCTGGCTTGCCTCTTTAATCCCTACCCTTTTTTTTGCCTTATCTTTTTCTTTCTGAATGTTTCCACATTTCGATGATACTAATATAGAATTCCCTGTCTTCTCAATCAAGAATCACTTCCTGAGTAATTTCATCCACTTAATAATAGATTTAAATTCTGTCCATATACTTTTGAGTCCCAAAGACCACACTACTTGCATAATGCACAGACTCATATATCTAAATGACCACTTCCTACTAATACAAAT